ATCCTATATATTCTAAACCTACATTTGTCTGACTTACTGTATTTACACTTATTTAAACTTACATTTACAACTAGCATGACCATTTACACTACATGTATTTACATTAAGCATTTAGACTCACATTCAACATTTACACTTTTTTACAAGCTCACATTCAACATACACTTATTTATACTTCTTACAAACTTATGTTCTTAAGGAAACTCTATAGTACTGTATTAGCAAATATACTTCTTATATTCATACAAACTTATATTCATAAGGAAACTCTATAGGACTACCTTACAAAGATACTTCTTACTGTTAACTAACTCACACTAGGAAGAATCTCTTAGCAAACTCCATAGGGATACCCTTAGCAAATATCTAACCTAGCAAACACCTAAAAGATTTCTTAACACCTAGAAAAAGTTTAACATTATCTTCCAAAAGACAGAGAGTAATTTTCTTTTGACTTCATTTCAAACTCAAAAAGAATGAGAAGAAAATCCTTCTAAGGGGCATAATGTATTTTTAAGTGACTTAGCTCTTTGTACAATATAGTGTCATTGTTAAGGCTGTAATCCTTGGGGTAAAGGTTTTGTTGTTGTTGTTGTTTTTCCCAGACTTCTTTCCTGCCAGGCCCTCTTAGCTGTTCTGGAACTGGCAGGAAATTAGCCTATGGGTAGATGGCTACTTTGTTAGGGACTGTCCCTTTGCCCAAATTCATAATCACTCCCTTAAGGGCTTCAATTCAGATAAATGCCATTGACTTCACTCGGTTGTCACAGAAGCCTCACCTCAGGGCGAGGATTAAATTCCCATATTGAACTTCCATAAAACTCTTAGTGAAAAGTTATTGTGCAGCTATCAGGCAATATAAAGCATTTTCTCAAACGAGCCAAAAGCGGTGCAGCTCCAAGTTCTGTATTCTTACAGTTTTTCATTGGGGCTGACACTCAACAAACTCTCAGACAATTTTCTTCCTTCTTAATCTTTTAAAAGCTGTATTTTAAGTTTGCTATGAGTGTCTTTTAATGCTATCAATGTTTCTCTGGAATCTTAAACACAACTCAATCTCATTAGCTTTTTGTTTGTTTGTTTGTTTGTTTAATTATCTCCTGTGAGGCAAGCTGTTTGTTTGCTTTCAACTTTTTGAGAAGTAAATTTAAGCTATCTAGCAATACTTAGGAAAGAAAGAAAGTTCATTTTGATTTGAAAAAACAATTTTACCAGGCAGTAGCCATCTTTATTGGAAAAACTTTCTTTCCCAGAATGCATTTCTCTTATGTCAGTCTGCAGTTATGAGCTACCTTTTGGACTCCACTTCCCATAGTTCTTTTCAGGTCTGGGAGTCAACTTTCAGTTCCCTTTTACTGGCTTGCTTTCCTATTGAAAAGTTAAGAATAAACCAGCTTTTTTCTTCACTACAGGAGGGTTCTTGAGTCAAAGGATTTTGTTCTGTCTGAGCTGGCTTTAGTAGGTGTTTTTCCTTGCTGACACTGCTCCCGAAGCTGAGTGCACCTGCCCACGCATATGCAGGAAGGTCCCTCCATGCTGGAAGCAAAATTCCCTTGGGGCTTTCTCCTCCATGTCACCATATCAGTGATAAAAATAAAAGCACTTGAAACAAAGGTTTTTTACTTCAGAGATAGTTTCTCCCAGACAACTCCCAGTGTGGTCTCAGCTCATCCCTTCCCCCAGAAACAGTCCCTGATGCCACAGTGGCGATTTTCTCTGCTTCTGAAGGTAGGGGCTTTTTTTTCTGATTCTGTCTCAGCTATTTCCAGTTCAGCACTGCTTTTCTTGAGACTTCCTGACTACTGTAGGAATCCTAGTATCCCCAGAATGTACTCAAACTTGGAGGTGCTGGCTAATTGCTTCTCAGTTGTTGTTTAGAGAAGGGAAGATACAGTGCTAACAGAGTGTTTGCATTGCCGAAGGGATCTTTGTGCTAGAGCAATTATGATAGAAGCCCACCCAGAAACAAAGTCCCTGATGTCTTAGCTGTAGCTGCAGCTGAGAAGTTCAGCTTTTACTGCTTCTACCATGCCAGGAGTTTCCTGCCCCATTTGGCGCTCTGTGGCTCTTCACCTACACTTTTCTGCATCTATGGCTCAGTTCTACCTGCAGGGGGAATTTCCACTGGAGATAGAGCTTAGAAAAGAAAGCCTCTATTGCTTCATTCTCACCAGCAGCCCCTCCCCCATCTCTTCACTTTTTGGGGAAGCTGTCCCTACTTCGGCTTTCTGCCTGCACTTTTTTTGCGAGGCTATAACCATAGGGAACTTCTGGCTGCTGATTTTTTCCTAGTTTAGAGAGACAGAACTTAGCAGAGAGGTTTTGCCCTGTTCCAAGATGTTTGTTGGTTTTTTTCTTAGAGCAAATCACAGATCATTTCCCACATTCTTTCAGGTGTATCTAATTTTGCCCTTACAGAAAGAGAAACTGAGAAAGTAAGTTCTGAGGTTTTTTAGTGTTTTAGAGAGAGAGTAAGTTTTTTAAGAAAGCTTTTAATTTGAGAGAAAGACCACCTAGTTCATCCCCCAAACTTCTAAACTTTGGCTTATTACACCCACATTTTGCTTCAGGGAGAATTACTTTCTTCTGCTGCTTGGGACCAAAAGCTTCCCACAGGTATCTTTTTTCTGCCTGTTAAACTCAAAGAAGAGCCTTTTTTTCTGCCCATTAAGCTCCAAGAGGATAGATTTTATCTCAGTTTGCGTTCATAGCCCTAAAGTTAGAAAATTAAAGACATAGTTTCTGTCTAGTTGCCTATCTTATCCTAAGTTTTCTTTTTGCTATTTTTCTACACTATCTTACTCTTCTAAGTTTTTCCTATACTATGTATCTATTCCTGCTTCCTTAATTTTTATAGATAGAAATTAAGAGAGAGACAGAAAGAGAGAAATCTTGATAGAGAATCTAAGCTGCAGCCTTATACTCAGACATCTTTCCAGTCCGTTTTTTTCTTTTTCTCTCGAGGATAAAACCCCCTGCCCCATTTAACTTTTTCTTTTAGCTACAAAACCATATTGGACCCTCCTCTTTAACTTGTAGGGCCTCCTACTTTCACTAAGTACTCTGGATATATATATGTATATATATATACACACACACACACACACACACATTTTTTTTCTTTTTTCTTAGTTTCTGTTCAGTGATACCATCTGTGGGGGACCAGCCCCCACATTTATTTACCTCAGGGACTCTTGAGGAATGAGGGATAAGAGATTTAGTTAGAAATAAAGAGAGGAGAGAAACAGAGAGAGACGCAGGATAGCCTCAGATGGGCCTGGATCCTTATCCACCAACCCTCCACTGTCTGCCCTAGTGTATTTTTTTTTCTTTTGAAAAAATATTTTTTTATTTATTCTTTGACAGTTTCATAATGTGTACACTGTATCTCTCTTGCTCATTCTGACTCCAATTGCCACTACCCCCCTCCCCCCGCCCCAGACTCCCCAACACAACCCCTTTCCATCTGATTTCCTTCTTTATTATTATTTTTTTATTAAGAAATTTTCTGCTCACTCCTCATGCTATCCACAGACCCCCCTCCTCCCTCCTCCCACCCCCAGCCCTCTTTCTCAAGCCACCCCACATCCCCCAAATCATGATATCCCATGGGGAGTCAGCAGAGCCCAGCTCACTGAGCCCAGGCAGGTCCAAGCCCCTTCCCACAGCACCAAGGCTGTGCAAGGTGTCACACCACAGGCACTGGATTCCCAGGAGCCTGCCCATGCACCAGGGACAGATCCCGATCCCCCTACCTGGGTGCCCCGCAAACAGTTCAAGCCAAACAGCCGTCTTCTGTGTCCAGAGGGCCTAGTCCAGTCCCATGGGGGCTCCACAGCCACCAGTCCATAGTTCATGGCCTTCCACTAGTGTGGCCCATCATCTCTGCACGTCCTCCACCGTGATCTTGACGTCCCTCGCCTGCAGTATCTCTCCTCTCTCTCATCAGTTAGATTCCTGGAACTCAGCCTGGTGCCTGGCCGTGGATCTCTGTATCTGCCTCCATCTGTCACTGGACAAAGGCTCTATGATGACAGCTAGGTTATTTGCTAGGCTGGTCACCAGAGTAGACCGGTCCAGGCACCCTCTGGACCACTGCCAGCAGACCAAGGTGGGGTCAACCTTGTGGATTCCTGAGAGCCTCCCCAGCACCCTGCCTCTTCCTATTCCCATGATGTCCTCATCCATCATGGTATCTTCCTCCCTGCCCTCCCACTCTGTCCCTGTTCCAGCTCGACCCTCCCATTTCCCTATGTTCTCATCCCCCACTCCTCACCCTCTGCTACCCCCCCCCACACACACCCAGTCCACTCATGTAGATCTAATCTACTTCTCTTCATGGGGTCATCCATGTGTCCCTCCTTGCCCTAGGGTATTTAAAGAAATGCCAAGGTGTGGAGTAAAAGACCTCCCCCAAGCACAGCCAAAAAGTGCAGACCACCTCAGACACCTGGCACCCATTTCCACAGCCCAATCATCCTCCCTATGCAGACCTGCCTGGTAAAGCCTATATAGGCTCCAATAGGCTCCATGGCACCTTCTCTCTCGTCTTGTCCTTTTCTTCTTTCCTTTCCTCCTTTTTTTCTTTCTTTTCTTGCTCAAAATCATCTAAGTCTGTTGTTTACAAAGAAATTTGGTGGACTTTTTTAAAAATTGAAGACATGCTAATGTTTAATCTCAGTGTTTGAGAGGTAGAGGCAGGAAGATGATGAGTTTGAGACTAGCCTGGGCTGCATAGTAATGAAATGGCTACACAAATGGACTATATATGTGAAATGGCTGCTTATTGGTAGGTCAGGCAAAATTTATATAACATGTTTTATATGTTTGTCAGTTTTACGATTTGACACAATATGATACTTATTAGTATAGCTATCATTATACTTCAGTTTTAGATTGTAGGAAAACTGATTTTTGACACTCTTGCTGGCATGCTCATGATATGCATGCTCAACTTGATACTCATCTGATTCTTATTAAAATATTTGTAATTTTTTTAGGAACAATTTGGACAACATATAAAATCAGAAGTGCACTTGAATTTTTATGTTTATTATGGTCCTGATCGTATTAGAGAACCAACCTTCCTTTCAAAACAGGATATTGTTTTGACTACTTATAATATTTTAACTCATGATTATGGAGTAAGTATGCAAATACCTAAAGCCTTTAAAAATATTTATTTTTTTTAAAAAACTGTGTGTTTGTCTGTGTGATAGTGAGTGCTGGTGACTTTGGAGGCCCCTGTAGCTGGAGTTAAAGGTATTTCTTAGTCATTTGATATGGATGCTGGGAACTTCCATTTGCAAGAGCAGCAAATACTCCTAACCACTAAACCATCTTTTCAGCCCTACCTAGAGATTTTTTTTTTAAGGTTGATTACTCTTCATGTTTCTAAATTATTCACAAATTCATAGTATATGCTCTTCCCTTTCTTTCTTTGAAAATGCTTAAGCATGTCTGTAAGATAGCATGCTGCAAAGAAGGGCTTTGCACCCTCTTGAGATACTAATTTGGAAATGTTTGTCATTTAGAACATTTAAGGTTAAAATTTAGATTTGTATTATATCTAGTGTTTATCATAATTTATATACAAATTTCTTTTTGGTGTTCTGAAAAATTGTTGATTTTTTTGTTTTTTTAATGATGAGTGTTATAGTAGTCATTAAGTTCTCAACTCTTTTCATGAGCCTGTTATTTTCCTTAATAACTCCAGTTATTTTGGAAATACCATATAGTTAAAAATCTCAATGTTGAAAGAACATTGCCATTTGTATAAAAGAAAGCATTGTTGTTACACTGAAAAATTTCTTACAAGGGATGGCTTTTCTGTCACTGTTTCATTGTGTGTAAAATGGTTCTGTGTATTATGCATGATTCTTAGCTTGGAGTAGGAGCTAGCTGCTTCTTAGTGGTACTTCAAACAACATATTTAGTATCTTGTTCCTTGGTGTTCTTAGCTGTAAAACAGAGGTAATATTCTAGGCTTTTTGGTGTTCACTAATTGTCTTTGGAGTACTTAACAGTGCCAGGTACCTAGTAAGAATTAGTAGAGAGATCAGAACTACTATTATTTAACAAACATTTAAATACTGTGTTATTTTACTGTGCTTTTTGAATATTAAACCTCTATTTCAGAATAAAGATGACAGTACATTGCATAGCATAAAATGGCTAAGAGTGATCCTGGATGAAGGACATGCCATACGAAATCCAAATGCTCAGCAGACAAAAGCTGTACTTGACTTAGAGGCAGAAAGAAGATGGGTATTGACAGGTAATTTTAGCTTTCAGGATTTTTTAAAAATTTTATTTAAATTTTGTGTGTCTTGTGTTCACGTGTATGTGGGCATGTATTTGTGTGCAAGTGCACATCCAAATATGTGTGCATTCCTGTGGAAGCTTTTAAGTGTCAGGCATCTTTGGATCATCCTCCACCTATTCAGTGAGGCATGGTCTCTTAGTTGAACCCAGAGCTCACAGTATCCAGCTAGCTTTAGGAATCCTATCTTCATTCCAAGCACCGGGATTACAGGCAGGCTGCAGTACACACCTAGAACTTAAGTGGATTCTGTGGATCCAACTCCTGTCCTATCATAGTTGTGTGACAAACACTTTATCTGTTGAGCTATCTTGCAGCCCTTATTTTTTTTCATTAGGTTTTTGAATTGATGCCTAAATATTATTTATGTTCATGGATCTTAATGTGGTATGATAGCTCATTGTATCATATTCAAATTAGGGTAATTATATTTATATCCTCATTTAATTTTATAGTAACATCATTCAAAATTATTTCTTCTAGCTTTTAGAATATGTATAGTGCATTATTTTTCAATCATTATCCTACTACTGTGCAGTGTAACAGCAGAACTTATTTTTGCAGCCATGCTATACCTTTATAACCATTGAGCAGTCTTTCCCTTTCTTTCTCCTCCACTATTCTTCTCAGCCTCTGGTAACCACTATTTTCTTTCACTCTTTAAGAGGTCAATTTCAGATTTTTTTAAAAAAAATTACGTGTGTGTGTGTGTATGTGTGTGTGTGTGTGTGTGTGTGTTTATGTGTGTGTAGATTAGAGAACGTGTAGATTTGGTGACAATCTTGGTTGTTAGTCTTCACCTTTTTCTTGAGATAGGGTCTACTACAGATTCCAGGTTAGCTGGTCTGTGAGCTTCCATGAATTCTCCTGTCTCTGCCTCTCACCTTGTTGTAGGAGCCCTGAGGTTATAGATGCATGGTACTGTTTCTGCATTTGTATGGTTTCTGAGCATTTGAATGAATTCAAATCCAAAATTGCTGGATACAAAATCAACATCCAAAGTTCACTATCATTTGTATGTAACAATGATGACTATAATTTTACAAAATAGAGCTACTAGAGATTATTTGCTGCTGCTCAAGCATACCCTTAGTTGTCAACAATTTCTTGATACATGTTGCTTAAATGTGTCAGATTTTTCTGATACTATTGATGGTCAATGTTGTTTGAATCTTAGATGGTCTTTTTTTTTTTTTTTTTTTTTTTTTGGTTTTTCGAGACAGGGTTTCTCTGTGTAGCTTTGCGCCTTTCCTGGATCTCGCTCTGTAGACCAGTCTGGCCTCGAACTCACAGAGATCCGCCTGCCTCTGCCTCCCGAGTGCTGGGATTAAAGGTGTGCGCCACCACCGCCCCACCTTAGATGGCTTTTTAGTAAAAAACTCAGAGCCAGATATCAGGGTGAAAGGTGAAAGATCAGAGAAGCAGAACAGCCAGCCACTAGTTCTTACCTCTATGAAATCCTCAGCCTAAAACGAGTGAGTTCCTGTTTCCTTATACCATTTTATACCTTTTCTCTGTCCTGCCATATTACTTCCTCGAATTAAAGACATATGCTTTCCAAGCAAAGGCATGAGATCTCAAATGCTGGAATTAAAGGTGTGTGCCACCACTGCCTGACCTCTATGTCTAATCTAGTGGCTGGTGCTGTCCTCTGATCCTCAGGCAAATTTATTAGGACACACAATATATCACCACAGGCCAAATTAATCATTTATATAAAGAGACAGAATCTATCAAGTGACTTTTCAATCATGGATAAGATGGCTTTCCCCTTTTCTTGGTGCTCTTGTAATTCTCTTACACTTGCCTAGACATAGAGGCAATGCATTCTCCCATGACTTCCATTATGTCCACTATTTTTTCTTTAAAACTTAGAAATGAGGAGATATAGTGTCATGAGTGCTCAAAGGTAAGCACTGGAGAAACCAGGACTGTTAATCAGCAGAGTTGTCTCCTCAATGGAGAAAATTAATACCTGTTTTCCACCCAGAGGGTTGGGAGTAGATGCTGTTAATAACTTGGTGACCTTTGCTATCTGCAGAGCCAAACCTCACTCAAAGCCCCCAGAATGTTTATCCCAGACTCTCCCTCCCTAGACCTTTATCTTTATCTTTGTTTGTCAGTCAATAAGAACTATCCTTAGGAGAGATGTGACATGTGACTTATAGCCTGCTGACCTCCATCTCTGTCAGAATCCACACTAGATCCTAGGCCCTTAAAGCTATAGAGTTCATCTTCATGGTCACAAGTGCTTTGCAAAAGAGTTTCAATGTAGTCATACTTGAAGCTTTATTGTGCACATGGGGTTGGGATGGTTGTTACCAGGAAACTTTCCTAAAATTACAGTGTATTTAAATATGTCTATAATCACCTGGTGTCACAACTCCAGAAGTTTTGACCCAGCACTGGCTAAGTCTTACCCAAGTTTTATTCTTACCTCACCCTGGTTGTTTTCCTGCTGGCCTGTGGTGCTTGCAGGGACCCCCACACACTAATAGCAAGACTGAGGAGATAGCTCAGTGTTTAAACATTTGCCATGTTTAAGTGTATGAGGATCTGAGTCAGTGTGTACCTAGTACATTGTCTAATTCAACTATTGTTTGTCTCATTGGGCCAGGTGAATATTCTGGCTAACGAGCTATAACTCAGTTCTTGCCTAGCATGTGTGATCCCTAGCACCACAAAATCAGTTTAACTTTGTAGAGGTATAATGGTTTCCTTCTCTGTTTTTTTTTTTTTTTAGGTACTCCTATCCAGAATTCTTTAAAGGACTTGTGGTCTCTTCTGTCCTTTTTAAAACTTAAACCATTTATTGATAGAGAATGGTGGCATAGAACAATACAGCGTCCTGTTACAATGGGAGATGAGGGAGGACTTAGGTAAGTAAGTTTATGATAGCTGATATATTAGCGATAGTTACTGCAACTAATTGCCACTTCCATTACCATTTTCACTTATCTCTTAACTTTAGTCTGCAAAGCACACAATTGTCAGTGCCACTGGCTCTTAAAACATAGTATCTTGTGTCGTCAGGGGATAAAGGTTTCTGTTTGTGCACTTTTTCCCCATTTTAGCAAAACTGAAAGGAAAGGCAGAGCTTTATGGTCATTGTATATGGCTGTTACCCCAAAGCTATGACAAACAGGTTCAACAATGATAGGAAAAGCTATATCCTTTGGTGATTCACTATGCATTTATGGTGATATTTTATTTGTGCTGAAATGTGATTTTATTTGTATGTTAATAAAGTTGCCTGGGGATCAGAGCTAAGAGCAAGCCATTTAGCTATAGAGTTCATCTTCATGGTCACATGTGCTTTGCAAAAGAGTTTCAATGTAGACTTCTGTCTGGCGGTGGTAGCACATGCCCTTAATCTGATCACATGGCAGGCAGAGTCTATGTGTGTTCAAGGATACAGCCAAGCGTGACCAGAACCTTTAATCTCAGTAGGAACCATAGAGATCTGGAGGTCTGTATAGACAGGCAGTGAAGAGGAAGTCATGTGGTTGGGTTTAGAACCAATGAGAAGGCAAAACAGAAAGGCAATAAAAAGACAGGACATAGGAAGAAGGTCTCTCTCTCTCAGGGGAAGGACGGCAGCGAGTGGTAAGATAAGGTGGTCTTAGCTCTTGGCTACTGCTCTGATCTCTGGGCTTTTAACTCTTTATTTGGCTCTGTGTTTCTTATTTAATAAGACCATTTAGAATTACATCTACATGCATTATATTTTGATAACTTACAGTTCTTTTATAGAGGCATTTGGTGTGGTATATACACTGTGCATAGTGTACAGTGATCTCAAGTTTTAATGAACATTTCATATGGTTGATTTGGGTGGGTATTGCTAAAAAGGTAAGAAAGGAATGAAAACATTGATAGGTATTTTGCCACATACTTGACTGCTGTGGTTCTAAGCAGTAATTGTCTAAACAGGATTTGGGACTCAATGGTGGGTCATAGAATCATTATAAAGGTGGCAGTCAGCATGGAAAAAGAAACAGATGTAATAGAGAATATGAAAAATACCAGAGTACATTCTCCAAGTGAAGATATATGATTTATATGTATTGAATATTTATTTGTTATGGGTAGATACAGTCAAATGTATTTCTGACTGAGAGTTAAAGTGAAAGTGATTGAAAATGTAAACTTATGTCAGCTGTCAAAACTGGTCACACAATTCCTGTTTATGCTGTATTTAGTCTAAGTTAAAAATTGTGCATTTTATTATTATAATTAGCCGGGCAGTGGTGGCGCACGCCTTTAATCCCAGCACTCGGGAGGCAGAGCCAGGCGGATCTCTGTGAGTTCGAGGCCAGCCTGGGCTACCAAGTGAGTTCCAGGAAAGGCGCAAAGCTACACAGAGAAACCCTGTCTCGAAAAAAACCAAAAAAAAAAAAAAAAAAAAAAAAATTATTATTATAATTATTATTATGTTTTTATTTTTCAGTTAATTAATTTGTAAAAAGTTGATTTGATTTTCATACCTTTTCATATTATTTTATATGGGATTTTTTTTTTTAACTCAAGAAGAGGATCTTCCTCCTATCTGCACTCTATGTAATAAAATACCTTAAACTCAATAGCTGCTTAGTAAGAATACAAATATTGTGTATTGAGTGTTATAATTGATAAGAAAGTAGTTGAGGAATAAAAGTGTCAATGATAACAACAAAACTAGAAAAGCTTTGGAAAAGTAAGTACATAGTAAAAGATGATAAGTGTTGTGCTGAGGCACAATTTCATTTTTTTGGTAATTATTTTTTGTTTATATAATATTCTTATGATTATAAAAGCCTAAATAAAGGATTTTTTAAAAACCATTTAATTTACTAAAGTTATAAATCAATAAATTCCTGCTTTTTTTCCTTTCTGCTCACCTGATTTAGAAATAAAGAGTTATCTAATTGCTTGTTTTACTTTGAGTAGGCGTTTACAGTCCTTAATTAAAAATATCACACTTCGAAGAACAAAGACAAGCAAAATTAAAGGGAAACCTGTTTTGGAGTTACCAGAAAGGAAAGTATTTATTCAGCACATTACACTTTCAGAAGAAGAGAGAAAGATTTATCAGTCTGTTAAAAATGAAGGCAAAGCTACCATTGGAAGGTATGGAAACAAAATGCTATGTTTAATTTTTGGATTTTCCTGCTTTCTTAGCCTCTTGTTAGCTGAATTACAGTTTTTAGACATTTTTTAGCCATTAAGTATGAAATATATTGAAAATTACTTTTCTTCTGTGGCTTATGCTTTAAATTTTTCTTTTTAAAAAATAGTTGATGAATGAAACGAAAGTATAACTTATCACATAAGTAATTTCTTGGGCTTGTAAAAAATTAAAGCTTATTTACAATATTGATTTTGGTCAGTGGTCAGAGGAACTTGCTTACTTCATTTCTGAGTGTCATGGGAGTAGACACACACAGGGCAGGGGCATGCTCCCAACTTGGTTTTATACTTGTTTTCTGTTTGACATACTCCTGAACCACATCTTGTTTTTTTTTGTCTATATATGTATCAACTTTTCAGTGAAGTCTTCCCTTACTAGCCTATAGAAACAACTTTAGTATTTCCTGATTCCTTCCCTCTGCGTTCCTCATGCCCCATAAGACTTATATTTTTAAACTGCCTGCTTCATTTTATTGTAAATGTAAACTCATTTTAATCTATTTGTATCCCAGTATATATGAATGTTAGGTACTTAGTAATTTTGCTTGAAATAGTTTGAGAAGAAATTTCACTTAGCTCTGCCAGGATTTGGAACTTGGAAATCTCCATTTTTTTCCCTTTATCTTTCTTATTAAATCTGCTTTGTGCCTACCTCAATAAAGTACCTCTGTTATGAAGAATCTCCAGTTTACAGTCTCCTTTTATCTTTGTCTTTTTCTGATCCCTGTGGGCAGTTGACAGCTGATAATGCTTTTGCTAGAATTATTCATTCACTTTCTGATTCCTAATTTTTTTTGTCATCATTTCCTATTCCTAGATTTCTACATATTGTTGCAAGTCATGGTGATGTATTACCCATGTTTGTAATACTACACAGAGTTGCAAATTCAAATTTTTACTTCAACTTCCTACCAACTTCCTCTGTAGATACCCTTGCCTCACAGTGCACTGATTACATTCCTTAGTTTCTTCTCAAGTATTTGGGCAAAGGATTAAGAACAGAAATTAATACTGAAAATTGGTGCCTAGAAGTCAGATTGTTGCTTTGATAAACCTGACCAAGTGGCTTCTAAGTCTTTGGAATTTGTGAGAAAGTTGTGAAAGAGTTTGAAACTTCGGGCTAGAAAAGCTAGAATGTTCTAAGCAGAGTGTAATGAGCTAGCCATTCTGGTGGGAATTTAAACAAGAATGCTGAGAACAGTGGAGGCTCAGTTTATGAAATTTCAGAGGGAAACAAGCACTATATTGGTCACTTGGTATGTTTTGTTTTTTCTGTTGCAGCAGTAAAATGTAGTAACAACACCACTTAAGGGAAAGGAGGTTTACTTTGCTCACAGTTTGAGGTTATTGTCTACCACTACAGAGGAAGCCACAGTGTCAGCACTCTGGGCAACTTGTCTCATTGCATCTACAGCTAGGAAGCAGAGTAACAAATGTTTGCACTCTGTTTTCTTTCTTTTTAAATACTGTTCAGGATCCCAGCCTAGGGAACAGTGTCTACCCACACTGAGCTTATCTTCCCCACACTTAGCCTGATCTGTGTACTTTCTCATAGACATGACCAGAGGCTTGATTCCTAAGTGATTCTAGATTTTATCATGTTGACAGTTGAGATTAACCACCACACTGGGCTAAAGGCTATTTGTGTTATATTCTGGCCAAGAATCTGGCAACATTTTCCTCCTATCCTGAGAAGGTAATGGAATTAAAAGGTAATTAATTAATTTATTTGGCTGAGGAAGTTTCAGGATAGAATAGTTCACTGCTGTTATCTAGGTCTGCAGTGAAAAAGAGCAACAAATGGGCAGAACAATATTTAGAATTGTATAATTTCGTGAGATAAAAAGCCATAAGCAATTTAAAAGTTTTAGGCAAGGCATATGTTGAGTAAAGCATGTATAATTAAATGGGATTAAATCAATGTAACGTCATTATAGAAGAACCTCTTTGTCTGCATTGGAACAACTGGAAAGGTACCCTGAGGGCAGGATCCCACCTATCCAGTACTCTGCCTTAATGAAAGTCAAATTCAGTTGAAAAGAGAGGTTCTGAACTCAGAATGCCACTGAGCGTTCCCACAGGCGATAGTAAGAAGACCTAGGCAAGTGTTTCTCTGTTGTCCTTGGAGGCACCCAGAGGCCAGTGCAGTGAGGCTAAACTACTTCTCATGCGGGCAACAGAATTTGGCAGTGTTGTCAAGGTACTAATGATCCAGCAAAGAATGATACATGAGTGAAGGCCCAATGAAGTGATTAGAAATCACTGAGGTAAAAACAGCATGTAGCGGGATTAGATTCTTCACAACAAGGCCTGAGAGACCACTGTGAAGGCCCGAGTTACAATGATGGAAGTCCCAGGATGTTGGATACCTGGACAATGGGATGTCCATCAAGGAAAAGCAGGGAATAGAGGCAGCCCAAGTTGAGACTGTGTGTGCTGCAGCAGGCAGAAATATAGGGGCAAAGCTATCTGAGCCCTTAGAAACCCAGATGATGTGTTATCTGGCTACTTCCTGTTGGCATGGGACAACATGGAGAGGGGTAGAGGGTGTCAGTGGGCTCATGCTCAGTGAGACTTATAGATGAGAAGCATGTTGTTAACTGCCATCCTGGAGACCTCAGAATTCTATTCCTGGAGGAAGTGGAGAAAGCAAGTTGCTAGGAGAAAAAAAAAAAAAAAGATTATCATTACTGGCCCTATGAACAGGGCTAGCCATGGGAAAATTGAAGACTGCCGGAAAGAATGGAATGGAGATGTGCTCTAGTTGTATTTACAAAGTTCTTCAGACAATTTGTGGAGTGACTCGATATGAGTTTTCCACCAGGCCAGATTCCTTGATACAGTAGCAGCAGTCTTTCCCCAGGAACATGCAGGTTTCTATAAAACATCTAGAACACATTTACACCTTGGTGTCTTAGCAAAGGCTATGACTTTGGGTTAAAAGGCATGGCTATTTTTCCTATGTCTAGAGAGCATGATAGATGTTTTAGCCCAGGGAAACACAACTTTAAGTCTATACTTAGAAGATAACCAAAGGAAATTTAAAATCTTAAGCTTATGACTGAATAGTAAATTGTTAAAATCAATCCATGTGAGTCTATTTAATGGGTAATAGGGATTTATTAAGATATAAATTGAGGAAATACACTTATGAATACAGAACCAAGTAAACTGCTGAAGTCCTCTGTTCTGACTGGGAATGAATCTGCCTCAGAGTTTCATCACACCAGGAAGCAGGCAGTAGGGAGAAGGGGCTCGTGACCTTTCTCCCTTTTAAGAGGTCACATACAACAGCAAGAAGCACTGCCTCTTTCTGGCCCTATAGCCCAAGGTCATGGGCAGGGAAAATACCACTACATTTCCCCTTTTTGTCTAAATAAGAAAGTTCTAAACTTAATGCAAATTATATACAATAAGAATGATTGTCAAGTATTACCCAGGAAAAACAAAGAGTAATAACATAAACAAAAATGGTACTACAACCTAAAAGAGTAACATCAAACAAGAAACACATGCTAAATGTCCAGAACATAGGTGAGTGGCAAATTACCAAGGTTACTACAGTATCTGTCTTATCCTGAAGATTCTATCTCTAGTACTTAATATGTCCTAGCTAAGATATGAGAAGATTGTAGCTATAACTATCTAGTCTTCAGCTCCATCAAAGACCTGATAATGAACATAATAATACCTGAGAAAACAGAAAATGGAAACAATTTTCAAAAATCTTCTGAGAATAGAGACAGCTGGCTGCCTGGACAGTCACCTAAAGTTTCTCAGCATTGTTGGGGCATCCAGTTTAGCTACAGGCCTAGAATATCTGACAGACCATTTTCAGAAACAGTAATTTTGAAATACCATCTTACCTTGTCTTGGCAGAGTTTTGTAGTCACTTTTCCTTGTGTCCCACTCATCCGGAAAGGACAGCATTCATACAGTCAGCAGTTGAGGCAAGAGCAATTCTTTGCCCAGCAGGCCATTTTTTTTTTTTTTTTTTTTTTTTTTGCCAAGAAGACAACAAATTTCCAAATAGAAATGTCTTAGAAGCCTAACATTCTCTTGGGATCAGATCTGTGCTACCAAGAGAAATGTGTCTCACATCTACAGATCTAAGTTATCAGAACATTTAAATGCCATATTCTCTAGGTCTATGATGTGTTTGAAGATCCATCTGACATTTGTTTCGGTAAATCTGGAGAACCTAACTAACATAACTATGCAAATAACAAGCATGGGTGACTATAAATCTGTAAGTCTTCTCTATCTAAATAACCTAAGATCTAAGGCTTCACATTAACAAGGTAAACAGTCTCTAAGCAGATGTCCATATAAATAAGGACAATGACCTCAAAATTATGATAATACACAAAATATCTTAAACAGAGATAGAAATATATAATGCAATATGCAATGTGGCAACAGTATCCTTAATGTGTATCGATATCACAGATATTTCAAACAGGAGTAAAAATATATGTACAATACAACAAATATACTTTTGTATTTGTATAAATATACAAGTTATCTTAAATAGGAATATAAGAATAGTTTACATTTGTATCAAATATACAAGAATCTATGTCAGCACAAATTACTAGTATACCTATCCATTCCCCCTCTTCTTTCCAAGGAGAATACTGAGTCAAGATTTTATTTTTCCACCCCCAACCCTATAATCATCCATCCACAACCCTGAGAAAAATAAAACGTGTAACACGAATCTTACATGGTCTTATTAATTAAAAAACCTGGAGCCAGATATTGGGTTAAAAGTGAGAGGTCAGATAAGCAGAAAAATGCCAGCCATGTTCTTAACTGCTAGGAAATCCCCAGCCAAAAAGAGCTACTTCCTGTGTGCTCACACTTATATCCTTTCTGTGCCCTGCCATCTCACTTCCTCTTTCTATCCAGCTTCATCACTTCCTCTTTCTGCCCAGCTC